TGTAGAAATGTGTTGCTCGATTTTTAAAGAGACTATGCAGTAGGAGCAAGTGGAGGAGCATTCTTTCACTGAGGGGTATTGGGCTCGCTCCAATCTTTCGTGTAGCTGGCGTGCCCTTACTAGCAGAGGACTTGAATGCCTACTTCTCGAAAGCTGCACCGCGCTTGGCACAGAAGAACAGCACACAGGCCCCGACGACCGCCCCTAGCGTGACCCCCAAGCCCTCTACCCTCAGCTGGCCAGGCATGAGAACTGACTCCAACCCCAGCACTACTTGCAGGTTCATGGGCGGTTGGAAGTAAGGCTTTAAGTACCTTAGAAAGGGTATAAGCATAGTTGCCAGAACAATAGCCCTACTTATCGCTACCCATGAACCTTCAAGTACCTCTCAATTTAGAAGTAGACCTGCAGAAGTCACATTTGGGATCCCGATATGGTTTCGAGGGGTTCTATCCCTAAGACCCCACGCTGATTCACGGTAAGCGCCACACTGATTTGCGGTATATTCCTTCCTTTCGCGCCGGATGCACCCATCTACACCCTAACTCTTTTTTTTGCTAATTACCCCCTAAACCCCCCCCCCCCCCCTAAACCCCTAAACCCTTAAACCCCTAAACCCCCAAACCCCTAAACCCCTAAACCCCTAAACCCCTAAACCTCCTAAACCCCCTAAAACCCCTAAGACCCCTAAGACCCCTAAGACCCCTAAGACCCCTAAGACCCCTAAAACCCGAAACCCCGAAACCCCCAAACCCCTAAACCCCTAAACCCCTAAACTCCTAAACCCCTAAACCCCTAAACCCTAAACCCTACCCCTAAACCCTAAACCCTAAACCCTAAACCCTAACACCACCGGCCCTCGAGGTCAAGTTCCGCGGCGACCACGGCATCTCCTTCGAGGGCACGCGCGTTTCGCACTCGGTGCTGCAGGCTCGAGCCCCGGCTCACATGACGAAGAGGGTTTAGAAAACAGAAAGAGGAGGGTTTTGGGTTTAGGGTTTAGGGTTTAGGGCTAGTGGGTTCATATTTTTGTTGGTGAGGGTATATGGGGCTCCTTATAGATGTTGGTGAGTGTGTATGTTTGGGTGTCCTTTTGGGGCCATAATAAGCCTCTACTTCACATGAGTTCACATGAGGTTCTGCGAGCCCTATACCTTTCAAGCAAGTTGAGGCTTCGGGGTGGGTCCTTACTTGAGGATTATGGCTCACATCATTAAGGTTTAGGGTTTAGGATTTAGGGCATGGGGCTCAGGGTTGAGGGTTTAGGGTTTAGGGTTTGGGGTTTAGGGACTCTAGAGTTCACAAAGTATCTTCCTCAACGGGGTTTGGCGACTTTCAGGGGGGTTTGGGGTGTAGGGTTTAGGGCTTCCGGAATTTTTGAGCCGTGCTCCCTGCAGAGGCTGGATGTGGGTGTCGTGTTCTCGCACTTGGGCTTCGGAGCAGCGTGCTTCTGCTGTTTGTGGCTCACACACACAAGTCTCCCTGATTCACAAAGCCCCCTTGCCAGCATCCCTCAGCCTAACCTCCCCAGCATCCCTCAGCCTAACCTTGTCGCGCGCCAGCCACTTAAGACAAGAAGACGCGCTCATACGACTCCCAGCAGTCAGGCGACACAGAGGACGTCCCCAGCCCTAGGAAGCCAAGTCATCACTCCCCAAGTCTCCCTTTCATCACCCAGCGAGCATCATGAACCTCCTCGTGGGCTCTTATGACAGCGACGAGGAGGAGGCTCCACCTCAAGGTTCCGCCGGGAGGGGGGGGGGTGGGGGGGGGGTGGGGGGGGGGGGGGAACCCTAAACCCTAAACCCTAAACCCCAAACCCTAAACCCTAAACCCCAAACCCTAACCCTAAACCCTAACCCTGAACCTTAACAGCCCTAGTCGGGCTTAGGGAGCCGCAGGAGAACTGCCGCGGCCGCTGGATCTCCAGTCGAAGCTGGTCGTGCCGGCCAAGTGTGAGGAGGTGCCTCCCCCGAAAGGCCCCAACGCCCCTTTTGGGGTTTGGGGGTTGGGGTTTGGGGTTGAGGGTTTAGGGTTTAGGGTATAGGGTTTAGGGTTTAGGGTTTTCTGCGTCAAGGGCACTTCTCCCCCCGAGTAAGAATAAGGAACCGCAACATGATCTGAGGGGTATTTATGGAAGTTTGCCGGGTGAGGGAGGTAACACATAACACGCCGCCAGGGTCGGTGGACACTGTTATCTTTGAGGCATGGGGGCCACAGCTAGATATTTTGAGATTTTTGGAAAGTTCGAGCCGGCTCGAATTATGGCTTTGTGGCCACCGGGCCCATCGATGACAGAATTTCGTTTTTTTGGCAAATTCGAGCCCGCCCCAGTTTTCAGTTTTGGTGACCTCTTGTTTTTGGCAATTTTGGAATATTCGAGCCAGCTCGAGTTTTCCAAAAACCATCCCAAAACTATGGCTATGCGACCCTTAGGCATCGTAGATTACAGAAATGAGTGTTGCTGGAGAGAATTTAAACCAGCTCGAGTGTGCTTGAGCTTAATGCCTTAATGATTTTAAATAGGTTGGGCCTGTCGGCTTTTCAATCGCTAGCTCACAGCCTCCTCCCCTTCTAAGATCCACCGGTTTCCAGATCATGGGGGGGGGGGGGGAGGGGGGTGAGCTAATACATATGTATACGGTTTAGGGTTTAGGGTTTAGGGTTTAGGGTATATATGTATGTATGTATGTATGTATGTATGTATGTATGTATGTATGGTGCAGGGCTGCCACCCCCGCCCCCTCCCGTGGTATCCACCCCCCACCACTTCCTCTTCCGCCCATATTTTTAGCTAGATTCCCCCTTCCTTTCGGGGGGATATTGGGCTCTTTGGGTTCTACTTGGAGGTTCATGGTACTTACTAACCAATTATAACTGTACTTATAGCTGGACTTATCGCCACATGAGGGGACTTAACGGGCTTCTAAAAAGTATCCTTCACAGCTTCAGTCGACCCTGAGCCGTGGACGGCAACAGTCAGACCGTCGGACAGCTGCCTTTTGCCTGCTTCGTGAGCGCGAGCGTCGAAGCCCTAGACAACCCGAAGCCCTAAGCCCTAAGCCCTAAGCCCTAAGCCCTAAACCCTGAACCCTGAACCCCGAACCCTGAACCCCGAAACCCTGAACCCCGAAACCCTGAACCCGAAGGCCTAAACCTCAATTAAGGCAATGGGCTCTCTGGCTTTGTGCACAGGTTACGCCGTCCTTCGATCCTGAGCCCCAGGAGGTGTGTGGGTTGGGATTCAGGGTTCAGGGTTCAGGGTTCAGGGTTCAGGGTTTAGGGTTTAGGGTTTAGGGTTTAGGGTTTCGGCTTTCGGGTTTAGGGTTTAGGGTTGAGGGATCGTCAGGGTTCATGGCTAAGAAAGGGCTCGGAGTCTCAGAGATCGTGGGGGAAAACCATCATCTGTCCTAAGCCGTGAGCCTTGAATCAACCCTAAACCCCAGCCCGCGCCCGACATATTTAGATATAGTGTATGTATCTTGTATTATCTACTGCCCTACGTATTTAAGGCTATAATATGTGTAGCGAAGATTCTCTAAGGCCCCATTGTACATTTTTTTTATAGATCTAACTTATTGAGACTCCTGTTGGGAGGGTCCTTGGGTTCTTGGTCGGCTACCAAGTGGAAAAAGCTTTCAAGTTCTCTCTGGGACCCATAGACCATAGAAGATATGTAGCCTTCTAGGGCCCCTAAACCGAAAGCCCTAGACCCTAAACCCTAAACGCCAGTGCAGCAGGGAACAAAAACACCCCGAAACCCGAAACCCGAAACCCGAAACCCTAAAAACCCGAAACCCGAAACCCGAAACCCTAAACCCTAAACCCTAAACCCTAAACCCTAAACTCTACAAACCCTAAGCCCCCTAACCCCCCCAAAACCCCAGCTTCGAGGAGTTTGACTCCGGACTCCATGACCCAGAATGCGAGTGCGAGCATTGCGCCATGCTGATGTTGAGGCTTGGGCCGCAAGCATGACCCTGAGCCCTAAGCCCTAAACCCCTAAACCCCTAAACCCCTAAACCCCTAAACCCTTAAACCCCTAAACCCCTAAACCCCTAAACCCCTAAACCCCTAAACCCCTAAACCCCTAAACCCCTAAACCCTACACCCTAAACCCGAAACCCGAAACCCTAAACCCTAAAACCCTACACCCTAAACCCTTTGATCCAGGAATCTCGGGCTCTGGGCATGAGTGGGCAAGTACGACATTAGTTTAGGATCCCGTAGGTCAGAAAGAAGCGAGGGTTTAGGGTTTAGGGTTTAGGGTTTAGGGTTTAGGGTTAGCCTTTCGTCCTGCAAAAGCCAAGGAGGTTCATGGCCAAGAACCTTCAGACAAAAGGCATCCGCTTTAAGTGCCTCTTGGCTCCGGTTGGCTTCAGTGACTTGCGCATAACCCCCCCCTTAAATGGGTTTAGGGTTTAGGGTTTAGGGTTTGGGGTTTAGGGTGAGCAGGGGCCACCGTTGCGCATGTGGATCTGATCCCTCAGCTGCCGCAGTGCCGTTCAGGCCCAGCGAGCGTAGCAGCTAAGAGAGGCCTGCGTTTCGCCCCAGTTTCCACTTAGCGTTCCCGTTTCTGTTTCAAGATTTCAATCGCAAATGCTGGTGCTTCGCGTCGCGCTGCTCCTCCTCTTCCAGGCGGTGCCCTAGAGAGGGTTAGAAGTACAGATGGCCCTACTTAGAGAACCCCCTGCCTATACCTACCCAAATATCTCCAAACCCTAACTCTAAACCCCAAACCCTAAACCCTAAACCTAAACCCTAAACCCTAAACCCTACACCCTACACCCTAAACCCTAAACCCTGAACCCTAAACCCTAAACCCTAAACCCTAAACCCCAAACCCAGAAACCCTAACCCTATGTCTGACTATCCAAATCAGCCTCCTAGCAGGCAGAGGCCTGGAAATGGATGGCCAAGATCAAGGCACCCTCGTTGAGAAGAATGCGGCAGGGCTCCAAGTTTGGAGACAAGAAGTTCCTGGGCAGCCGAGGCTAGGGTTTAGGGTTTAGGGTTTAGGGTTTGGGGTTTAGGGTTTAGGGTTAAGGGTTTAGGGTTTAGGGTTTAGGGTTTAGGAATTAGGGTGCAAAGGGTTAGGAATTAGGGTTCAAAGGGTTTAGGGTTTAGGGTTTGGAGTTTAGGGTATCATAAAGCAGCTTCCGGCTTCAGAAGGGTTTAGGGTTTGGGCTTTAGTGTTTAGGTGTTCAGGAAAGAAGGGTTTGGGGTTTAGGGCTCGCTATCGCTGCGAGCCCAGCGGCAAAAGGGTTCAGGCCGCCTTGAAACCCTCGCAAATAGAAACCAAGTCACGAGAAGGCGCGATCCGATTTCGTGCACGCTCAGAACTTCTTACTGTTGGTTAGTATAGGGAATGAGGGGAATGAGGGCCCTATATACCCCTTAAGGGATTACATAGGGTACCTCATTCCCTCATCCCCTAAACCCTAAACCCTAAACCCTAAACCCTAAACCCTAAACCCTAAACCCTAAACCCTAAACCCTAAACCCTAAACCCTAAACCCTAAACCCTAAACCCTAAACAGTAAGTTTTTCAAGAAGAGCCGAGGCTGGTGGTCATCACCGGAACATCCTCCGGCCTTGGCAAGGCGACGACCAAAGCACTTCTGAGGGCCAAGGAGCGGTTCAGGGTTTAGGGTTTAGGGTTTAGGGTTTACTAACGGAGGGACCCTTTTCAGGGACGTTAGGGGGTTCTTACAGGGGGGCTACTTAGGTAGAAAGGGCCTAGATAAGGCATGTATTGGGGTCCCTTCCTTCTACCCCTCAAGGAGTATCACGTCATTGGAGCCGTGCGCGACTTGGAGAAGATGCAGGTCGTTGCCGAGTTGGAAGGCTTTGACATGGACCGCTTCACGCCCATGGAAGTGGACCTTGCGAACTTCGAGTCGGTGAAGGCGTTCACGGAGAACTTGGACAAGTTCCGGGGGGGCCGGCCCATTGACAGGCTAGTCTGCAACGCGGCCGTGTATCAGCCCACCCTGGAGTATCCCAAGTGGACCGTGGATGGGCATGAGCAGCAGCTGCAGATCAACTACCTGAGCCACTTCCTGCTCACCTCCAAGATCATGCCCATGATGACCGACTCCAGCGATGCCCGTGTGGTGATGATCGGATCGGTGACTGGGAACGACAACACCGTGGGAGGTGGCGGAGTCTACCCGATTGCAGACTTGAAGGAGTTGGATGGCCTGGAGCTAGGGTGCAAGAAGCCCATCGCCATGATGGATGGCTACAACTTCAACGGTGCCAAGATGTACAAGGACACGAAGCTTGCCTTGATGATGACCTCCAACATGCTTCATGAACGCTTTCATCGCTCCACAGGCATTGCCTTCAGCTCCATCTACCCCGGCTGCATTGCCGAGACCCCCTTGTTCAGAGAGAAGCGGCCCTGGTTCCGCAAGTACTTCCCCATCTTCATGAAGTACATCACCGGGGGCTTTGTGGGAGAGGAGGAGGCCGGGACACGACTCTTCCAGGTCTTGCACGACCCCAAGTGCACGAAGTCCGGGGTCTACTGGTCCTGGAATGGCGGGCCGCGCGAGGGCCGGGGCATTGAGGCCATGGAGAAGGGTGGCCAGATCGTTGGGGCGGGAGGTGCAGGAGGTGGCTGGGAGTCCATCTTCGAGAACGACCAAAGCGACAAGGTTCTGAACAAGGACTTGGTGCAGAAGCTTTGGGAGAACACCAACGAGGTCACCGGAGCTCAGTGGCCCAAAGCCTATCAGGCCAAGTCCCCCTGCCCGACCCTCAAGGTGGTGGGCGCCGCCACGTCACTCCTTGGCATCCTTGAGGAGCGTGCTCGCATGAAGGCCACCCAAGGTGCGGGCGGGAAGATCGTGGCGAACAAGACGCTGCCAGTGGCGGAGCGGCGCAAGGCCTTGGAGGGGATGCTCCAAGCCCTGGACAAGACGCCCAATGACCCGGAAGAGCTGGAGAAGGACCTGCTTCGCACGGCCGGGAAGGTCCCCGAAGGTGTTGTGGGTGACGTGTCTTTGGAGTCGCTGGAGCACCTGGAGCACCTGGAGCACCTGGAGGACTCGGAGCCTTCCGTTGAGGCCGTGATGCCCGAGCTCGATGATGACTTCGTCGAGCCTGCCGAGCCTCCCCAGATGATCCCCGGCCACGAGAAGCTCGGTGACACCCCTGTGGTCTTCCAACCTCAGAATGTGATGACGATGGCGCGGGCAGGCCAGCCTTTGAGCGAAGTGGCAACCCAGGCTGACGTCTTCATCCGCTACAAGTGCAAGAAGGGCAAGTGCAAGACCTGTGCCGTGAACATCGATGGGAAGTGGGTCTCCGCCTGCCAAACCAAGATCCCTCCCCAGGAGCCCGGAAAGAGCTTCGACGTTCGTGTTCGCCCGGTCTCGGATGGCAAAGCAGCTTGGTCGCTTCGTGGTACCCTTTTTCATGTTTTTTTGGTTCAAAGTTCCCTTCTCAAAAGTGACCAACCCCCACCAGCCCCCCAAAAGGGGTGCCCTTATGAGAATATGGTTACTGTGGGCTACCAAGGCAAAGAGACCCTAAACCCTAAACCCTACACCCAACACCCTACACCCTAAACCCTAAACCCTAAACCCCTTATTATAAAATGGTTCCTGGGGGCTAAACCAAGGCCAAGAACAAGGCCGCCTTCTTCACGCCCAAGTCCTTCGCCGACGGCGTCGTCAACAACGGCTTGGGCATCTAGGTGGGACTATATACTACAACTTTATACCACTTTGTAAGTTTAGGGTTCCTCTCATTTCATATTAAATAGGTGCAACTTTACTACAACTTTATAACCACTTTATAAGTTTAGGGTTCCTCTCATTTCATATCAAGGGCGAGCTGAAAGTTTAGACTAAACCCTAAACCCTAAACCCTAAACCCTAAACCCTAAACCCTAAACCCTAAACCCTAAACCCTAAACCCTAAACCCTAAACCCTAAACCCTAAACCCCAAACCCCAAACCCTAAACCCTAAACCCTAAACCCGAAACTGTTGGGGGGGTTTAAAAGAGCAACCAAGGCATGGTGGGCTTCGTGAAGGAGGCTTTTGGTGCGGACCCCGACTTCAAGGTGCCTGGGACCCCTTAGGGGTGCCTTATAGGGAGGGGGGGTTTAGGGTTTAGGGTTTAGGGTTTAGGGTTTAGGGTTTAGGGTTTAGGGTTTAGGGTTTAGGGTTTAGGGGTACCCAGGGAACCTTATAGGGAAGCGAAGCTTAGGGAGCCTTAGGGAGTTGTTAGGAGTATTAGGGAACCTTGGGTTACACACCCTAAGCCCTCAACCCTCAACCCTCAACCCTCAACCCTAAACCCTAAACCCTAAACCCTAAACCCTAAACCCCCTCCCTTTTGAAGCCTCGAAGGTCCGCATGGAGAGGGAGAAGATGGTCGAGGAGCTCCTGGCCAAGAGGGCGAAGGAGGCGAAGGTCCAGACGAAGAAGTCGCTCCGCAGCTCGGAAGGCCCTGAGACCGTCACGGACGAGTATGGCCGCGAGTTCATCCTTCCAGGCATTGCCATGACCGCAGCTTTCATGGTTGCATTGATTCAAAACTACCCGGTGCTCGACTGAGCCTAGATTTGACCCTGTTTGCTGCAGTTGCTCTCAAGTCTGAGCCTCCAGCCTTAGAGCCATGGTAGTCGCGCTACAACAGCAGGAAAGAAACAAGAGTCGTGAGCTCTGCAGCAAGAACGGCCGGAACATGTCGGCTGGTTTTTTGAAGTTCCAAAGGGTCGGAATAGCCAGAGGCGTTCAGAGCGGAGGTGTTGCGCACGCGACGCCTCTCCTCGGAATTTTGGAAAGCTGTGCAACCTGAAAGGCCTCTGGCCCATAAGACGACCCACTGCGGTTGACTCTGCCCCAATCTGAGGCCGCCTGCAAGTTGTGCAGCCCGTTGCCCGCAACGCTTTCGCTTAAGAAAAACAGCCTGCGGTGCGTGCTGCTGCTTGAACACGTCGCGTGCAGAGCAAGCACTGCAACCAGTGGGTAGTTCTCTGAACTAGGGTCTCCTTTTTGGGTTCCCAAAATAGTTACGGCACCCTTGAATAAGATAAGATGAAACCCCAAAACGGACCCTATTTCAACCCTAAACCCTCAACCCTAAACCCTAAACCCTCAACCCTCAACCCTCAACCCTAAACCCTACCAACCACCGACGCCGCCGACTGAGGCAAGCTTTGCAGCGCACTCTTCCAGTCCAAGGTGGCCTGGGGTCGGGGCGACAGGGGTGGGCATCACAAACTTGGCCTTGGGGGCTTAGGGTTTAGGGTTTAGGGCTTAGGGCAGACGGGCTCTGTGGTTCTAGGGCTTGTTGCAGGGTGTTGTTGGACCCTACACGAATTGAGGCCTGCTTCCTACCAGACCCTAAGCCCCCGGGGTGCTGAGCGCACCGAAGGACGCCGCCGCCGCCCACTTCAAGACGGTCCACGCTGTGGATGTTCAGGCTTTCAAGCAGCCCGGCTGATCCTGGGACGGTTCTTTCAGGTGCTTGGGTTGCTTTTGGGTGCTTGGGTTGCTGAAGCCTGGTGCACCCAGGCGGCAGCAGTCTCCCTGGTCGAAACGGGCCGTGTTGCCCCTAAAAATCCACGGTTCCTGTCCAGAGCCCAAAAACCCTGAATTTGGGAATGCAGCTGAAATCATCATAAGGACCCCTTATATATCTTACGGTCTATTCCACAAAGGCGCACTGGGCTCCCTGAGTAGCTTACTGGGAAGTTCGTGGGTCGTTTGAAGTAGTTACAAGTATTAGAAGTGTAGTAACCATACTTACAAACCTACTTATAACCAATCCCCCTCCCCCTGATATTGAACACCCCCCATGCCCTATATGCCCCCGAATGTCAGGTATTCCCCAATTTTGGGAGTATTCAATATGGGAGGGGGGGTAGGGAGCTGGGGAGGAACTTAGTATTAGGGGGATGAAGATCCAAGTAAGCCACAGTTCTGTCAATCCAAAGTACTGCAAACTCCAAAAAGTTGGAACATCCTTGTCCCCATAACACAAAAAAGGTATTTCAAAGGGAATCCCAGCTCTACTCATCCTGTAGGACCCAGAGTAAAAACCCTTATTCGCCTTTTTTTTCGCGTTCAGGTTCCTTGAAAAAGCCCGGGCACCATTTTTATTCCTTGGTTCCTCTTGGGTGTAGTCTTTAAACCAGGTTCCAAGTTTCTGGAGTTTGCTTTGGGATGTTCCCCCTTATACTAACAGTCCTTAGTAGGGATTATAATAGGGGGTACGATAGTCCCGATTAAGGAGTGTTAGCATAAGGGGGAACATCCCAAGTATACCCTAAACCCTAAACCCTAAACCCTAAATCCTAAACCCTAAACCCTAAACCCTAAACCCTAAGCCCTAAGCCCTAAACCCTAAACCCTAAACCCAAAACCCTAAACTCTAAACCCTAAACCCTGTTCCAACTTTGGGGAGTTTGCTGTATCAAGTCTTCGAGGAAGGCAAAGATGCCAGCGCTCTTCCAGACTGGCCCGTCGAAGGACAGGACCTGTTGCTGGTGCTTCGGGTTTCGGGTTTCGGGTTTAGGGTTTAGGGTTTAGGGTTTAGGGTTTAGGGTTTAGGGTTTAGGGTTGAGGGTTGAGGGTTTAGGGTTTAGGGTTGAGGGTAACACCCAACCTGGTCCGGACACCCTGGTTCTCAGTAGGGATTGAGGGAATTTGGGGCATATATATATATATATAGAAACACCCTTTAGGGGATTGTATAGGGTGCCCTCATTCTCCCATTCCCTAGCAAGAACCAGCCTGAGGAATCCCGAAGGAATGTACCTGAAGCCATGTAGGGATCCTTATTCTCTGACTTAGGGTGTATTCCTTGACGTGTATGGGGCCTTCTGCATTGCGGTCCAGGAAGGTAATCTTGCTTGTCATGGAAAGAGGAAGCGATACTACTAGATCCAGCTTTTTTGACCCATCTTTTTCAACGCATATGCTTATTTTCGTACCCTACTTTCTGTTCCGGAACACCGAGCGGGAAAGCGGAGCCTGAGGATTCACCCCCCCCCCCGAAAAGAAGAAGTCTAAGACAGTTACTGTAGTACGGGGCTTAGGCGAAAGTGCAAGGCGTCCATATTCCTAACAACAACCCCGAACCTCAAGCCCAAAATTTGCCCGAAAGAACCGTTAATTTGAAGCCTCGAACTCCTGCCGGCAAGCGGCCATCTATGCACTATGAGGTTCCGAAAATAGGAGAAGCCATTTTGGGGTTCCTATAATAAGAATCATATTATTCGGGGGTAGTTCAGGGTGTCCCCCATTTCGGGAAATTACCGGTGATATGTTGTGTTCAAGATCTCTGGCAGTACAGCTTTTGTTTAAGGTAAATAATAAGCAATGCCGGCACGCGGGTTTCTTTATGTTGTATTTTTTTATCCTACGTCGTGCCTGTCGTTTTGGGTTGCTAGCTGACTCCAGGATTCTGCGATTAGAGCTCGTTCGCGCGAGTACCATGTGTTTCGCAGCACTTCTATCAATGTCCCCCTCGAGAAGGAAAGTCTATATATCTCTAATCGGGATGGGGGAGGGGTACAACCAGACAGTTAAACCCCACTTTAAGTCAGAGACGGCCCCCAACTTGGGTTATGCTAACAGTCCTGAAGAGGGATTTTTGAAGCCCGTAGTATACTGCCTATTAAGGTCTGCTAGTAAAGCGGGGAACATCCCTAAACCCTAAGCCCTAAGCCCTAACCCTAAACTCTAAACGCTAAACCCTAAACCCTAAACCCTAAACTCTAAGCCCGAAGCCCTATGAAGGACTGTTAGTGCAAGGGGGAACAACCAACCCCCAGCAATTCAGGGATGATGGGCGCAGGAGCAGCTTGCGGCTCTGGCCCGCCAGAAAGCCTTTGCTCGGGATTCTTGGCCTCGGTCAGGGTTTAGGGTTTAGGGTTCAGGGTTTAGGGTTTTAGGGTTTAGGGTTTAGGATTTTGGGTTTAGGTTTTAGGTTTCGGGTTTAGGGTTTAGGGGTGCTGCCGCCTCCGCCCGCTGCATGCTGAGGATTGCGTCCTGGGGAAGCGGCCCCTGGATGAGGACAGCGGATTGCTGCACACGACCCTCCCCCCCCCCCCCCCTCCCCAACAAAAAAGACGGAAAGTCAAAGCAGCCCCCGGGTGCGCTGAAGATGCTAAGCTGAGAGTACAAGGACCTGCTGAGGGGCCCTGCAGGTCGCAGCCGCCTGAACCAAACCTTCCTTTCATGGCTGAGGGCATCTAAGGGCTCAAGTTTTGCCTGTGGGCCCATGGAGGAGGATTCAGGGTGCCCGACTATGCAGAGCCAATCGCAAGAGATGCGGGTATGTGATGGTCCTGAAGAAGAGTTTCACAGCTCCAGGAAAGGCTTTGTGAAGGATACCTTCGACGTAGGCTTGAAGGAGATGATGCAAGGGCATCACGACATCCTTCTGACGATGCTTGACAGGCAGCAGGCCGTGCTGGATGATCTGCAGCGGTGGACCCGCGAAGTCCGCCAGCCACCGGGCCTGCGCATCGGCCGACCAGGAGCCAGGCGAGATGGCACCGTTTCAGCTCAGCCCAGCCTGAAGGGAAGCGAGAAGTCGATGGAGCAGCCGCCCCCAGCCACCGATGTGCCTGAGGAGGGACCGGCAAAAACGCCGCGTCTCGCCACGCAAATCCAGGCACGCACGGCCAAGGTGAAGCAGGGAGCCAAGGGTGTCTCAGCGGGACAGAAGTTGCGGAGCTTTGTGTCCGAGGGACCTCTCGATCTGCTTGCTGGCATCGTCATCCTCATCAACACGGCAGTGCTTATTCTGGAACAGGAGATCCGAGGCGATGCAGCTGGGAGGTGGCTTGACGCCCTGCTGGCGGGCAGCCCCACCCCCAGCATGGAAAGACCTGCGGTTCTCGCTATACTTGAGTACGCCTTCCTCGTCTTCTACGTCTTCGAGTGTCTGCTGCGAATTGCCGTCCTGCGGAGGGACTGGTTTTACACGGCAGCAGCTGGCTTCATGTGGGGCAACTATCTGGATGGCCTTATTGTCCTTTTCGGCGTTGCAGACGTGGTGATTGCCGTGCTTATCAACGGCGATGCTGAAGAAGCGACCTTCACTGTCCTGTTGGTCCGCCTTGTGAGGCTCGTGAAGGTCGTGAAGACTTTGCGTTTGGTTCGCGTCATGCAGCTGTTTGTCCAGCTTCGGGGCATGGTGGACACATTCCTCGCCAGCTTGATGGCGCTTCTGGGTAGTCCGATGGTACCCCTTTGCCTTTTGCGCCTTTTTGGGATCTGGGTTCCTGACCAAAGTAGCGAACACCAAACAAGGGTCCCCCCTTTTGGTATGGTTTCTGGGCTACCAAGGCTTTTCTGGTCCATGATCATGCTCTTGGTGTGCATGTCCATTGGTGCCTTGGTGTTGTGTGAAGCGTGCATGCCGCTCCTGCAAGAGATGTCCCTCCAAACCGCAGAGTGGGTCTTCGGCAAGTACGGCACCTTCTTCCGGTCCATGTTCACGATGTTCGAGATCACCTTCTCCGGAGGCTGGCCGAGTTCCGTACGACCTCTGGTGGATGACGTGAGCATCTACTTCGCCGTGCCTTGCCTGCTCTACGTGGTCTTCATCGTCTTCGCGGCGCTCCGCCTGATCACCGCGCTCCTCGTCCGCTCCACCATGCAGGCCATGTCCAACGATGCCGCCATGGCCGTCCTGGAGCGGCAGCAGCGGTCGTCAGAGCTTCAGAGCAACTCTATCCCCCTTTGGGAAATTCTCTGTTTTAAGTTTTTGTTTATGTAAACCCCAAGAGAGGATGTTAAAGATACTATCTTTTATTAAGGTTCTAAAAGGGGGAGTATACACCATTTTTTCTTTCTTATTAAGGTTCGCTAGAAAGGGGGGGGAGAGTCTCGAGGCAAGCTGAGAATGATCTTCGAGGACGGGGACCTGGATGGAAACCAGGCCCTCACGCTGGCGGAGTGGGAGCGGCTCCTGGAGCACCGGGAGATCGTGCAGTACCTGAGCGTCCTCGAAGCTCCTACATCCATCCCCCCCTTGGGAGCTACCTTTTTCTTTTTTTGTTATATGTGTATATGTATATATTCATATATACATATATACGTGTTTTTTGTTTATATCAAACCCGAGAGGAGATGAGACATATTTTTTTTGTAGTTCAGGTTCTAAGGGGAGTCTAGGTTGATGTGCACGACGCAAAGATGCTCTTCCACATGCTCGATGACGGGGATGGCCTTCTCACGGTGCAGGAGTTCTGTGAAGGCGTCCCGAAAGTGAAAGGACATGCGAAATCCCTTGATATTGTTCGCTTGATGCACGAGACTGATGACATCCGAAAAGAATGCAAAGCCATTCGCCATGCCATCGAATCGCAGCTAGAACAGCAGCTAATGTTGTAAGCGCAGAGGTCCTTAGGACCCCCTGTGGCTGGCTTTTCTACCCTGCATCTTCCGTGACTTGGTGATGCGAACCAGAAGCAAGCACACCGGATGTGTGCACTTGCACCATCCCGTCAGTTCCGTTTGCGAGTTCTCCGCCCTTCCTTTTCCAGTGCATGGGATGCCAGTCGTAGCACTCGCGTCCTCGTGCAGTGGCCTCAAGCCCTGGAGCTCTGCATGCAAAAGAAAGGGGTCCTGAAACGGCTTAGGGTTTAGGGTTTAGGGCTTAGGGCTTAGGGTTTAGGCTTTAGGGTTTAGGGGCCCCCCCGGCCACAAAAAAGGCCCCAACACACCCAAAGCCCCGCCGAAAGGGTGTCGGGTGGTGTGGTGGGGTGGCATCGGGTCCCCAAAAACCGAAACCCTAAACCCTAAACCCTCAACCCTAAATCCTGAACCCTAACCCTAAATCCTAAACCCTAAACCCTAAACCCTCAACCCTAAACGGTAAACCCTACTATTTTTCAAGCCAGTGCCAGACTAGTGCACTGCAGTGTGTCCGATAGAGGTCAGCGAGGCAGGTGGCAAAACAAACCCGAAGCCCTAAGCCCTAAGCCCTAAGCCCTAAGCCCTAAGCCCTAAGCCCTAAGCCCTAAGCCCTCAGCCCTAAGCCCTAAGCCCTAAGCCCTAAACCCTAAACCCTAAACCCTAAGCCCGAAGCCCGAAACCCTCAGCCGCAGGACTCTAGCTTCGGTGGATGGGCCAAGAAGGACTGTGTGGACGCCAGCGGGTCGAGGGTTTAGGGTTTAGGGTTTAGGGTTTAGGGGTTTAGGCTTTGGGGTTCAGGGGTTCGGGGTGAGGGTTTAGGGTTTAGGGCGTCTAGGCGTTGTTAGTTGCCGCCCAGAACGTCTGCGCCCAAAACGAGGGTTTAGGGTTGAGGAAAAATTGCGGAGGTCACCGGAATTGGGTCATTGCAAAGTTGTGCCTGGGATGTCTGTTGCTAAAGATCTAAAGAATATGAGGAAGACTGCTACTACGAACTGCTGCTGCGGCCGCTCCTACTGCTACTATTACTACACCGACTACTACTACTACTGCTGCTACTACTACTACTACTACTACTACTACTACTACTACTACTACTACTACTACTACTACTACTACTACTACTAACTACTACTAACTACTACTACTACTACTCCTGCTACTACGACTACTACTACTACTACTACTACTACTACTACTACTACTACTACTACTACTACTACTACTACTACTACTACTACTACTACTACTACTACTACTACTACTACTACTACTACTACGACGACAACAACAAAAACACAAATGAGACGCGGTCAAAATTACCGCTTCCTTACTTTAGTAGAGGGGTAGTTGTTGCACCAAAGCGCCGAGGATCGATAGGGGACGCGCAAAACTGATAGGGTTATTTGATGCGATAGGGTGAACCTCCGGTAGGTGAAAACATGGAAACGATAGGGGACGCGCAAATGCAAAACCAAGCAAGGCTTAAACAAGTAGTTTTGGCGCCGACTCAAATAGTTTGGAATTGGAATGCAAATAGAAATCCAAATGATAATAGCTGAGGGGTCACCCAACCGGGGTTGTTTTTCTTAAGAGTCTGGGCCCACAACCCGCACAAGGAGAAGCCCCTTCCGCCACCGTGTGAGACACCCGAGTACGAGGCAGTCGAGCTCCTGTCAGGGTCTGTAGGGGTTTCGGAGTTTCGGGCAAAAAAGGGGTGTAGTGTTCAAGGTTTGCGGAGTGAAGCCATCTTCCCAAGGCCCTTGCTTGCTTTTTTATGTTTTTGAGACCCTGAACGTGATGTTAGGAATTTAGGGTTTGGGGTTTAGCGGTACCCCAAACCCTGAACCCTGAACCCTAAACCCAAAAGGGTTTGGCCCTCTTTCGCATGCCATGCGCTTTCTGCAGCTTGCCTTGGCCCGGCCACCGCCTGCAACGCCACACAACGCCCCTGCAAAGCTGCCAAAGCCAACAGACTGACGTTCTTCAGCGGTTCTTGGGTTGCAGGTAGGGTTAGAAGTACCCTAAGTAGGGCAATATGTGGGTGGTTGTCAAACTTATGCTTCCGGGGAACCCTAAATATTACATGCCGTATGAGAATAGGGATCCAAAAAACGGGCCATGATTTTGCCAACCACCCATGTATAGGGACCAGAATTCTAACCCTCCTCATAACTACCCATGAGCCTTAAGGGTACTTAAACCCAATAAGGAGGGTTTTTTAAGATTATCCCAACCATGAACTAGATGAGCCCCCCAAGTCTGACTGAGGGCATGATGAATGCACCAGTGTTCACGGCGCCGCCCTGGGAAGGCGAGGTTGGCCTTCTTCCTGCCGTTCTTGGGAGGGTTTAGGGTCTAGGGTTTAGGTTTAGGGTTTAGGGTTTAACCCTAAGCCTGCGGTAAAAGGGGCTTAGGGCGCTATGCCCCTGAATTAAGGAATGCAACGTGCAATCTCCTTCAACCATACTCGGAGAGCCCAATACCCCTTGTTAAGGAAAATACCTTACATCCTCATAAGGAGCCCTATATGGTTGAAGGTCTATTGCTTGCTGAAGGGGTCTTGCGATCTCTGGGCAATGAGGTCTATATGGGTTTAAGGCAGAGAACAAAATTCCCCGTTTACATTGGGCTCTCTGGGGGAGTGCAGGGGGCCTTTCTGGGTTACTTGGGCTGCTAGAACCCTAAACCCGAAACCCTAAACCCTAAACCCTAAACCCTAAACCCTAAACCCTAAACCCTAAACCCTAAACCATAAACCCTAAACCCTAAACCTACGAGCAGCCAGGACAGGCAAAGCCCACGGACGACGACGCCAATGAGATGGATAAGGAGATAGACCAGCGCAGCCGGGAGTGATAGAAGAAGTTGTAGGGTTCTCAAGGGAGGTTTAGGGTTTAGGGTTTAGGGTTTAGGGCTTAGGGTTTGGGGGACAGGTAGATAGGGAACCTTGGGGAAGCTTAGGGAGCCTTAGGCAGTAGACAAGAGTTTTTGGGGTTATATGCACCCCTTGAACCCCCCTCCCTTACGAACTCTGGAGTGATAAAGGGAGGGTTTAGGGTTGGTCTATTGAGCTACCCTTGACCTGGCGGGAGCAGTGGAAGCCGACCAACCAATCGCCTGATTCAGGCTCCAAAACAGGGGCGCCGTAAGATTCCAGGAGCTCCATTACCCCCTCAAGGAAGGAATACTCCTTAAAGTAGAAGAGGGTTCCTGCTTATGGTTTCAGGAATATTCCTTAGTGAATCACCCCCTTAAGGAAGGAATATTCCTGAAGGTGTAAGAGGGTTCCTGTTTATGGTTTCAGAATATTCCAATAAGTCAATCTGGAATGTGTGGCATGCTCAGGCATCATGCAGGCACAGACCTTGCGCTTCTGCAAGCGAAACGTGCTGGAGGTGAAGAAGGCCGGCAGCAGGGTTCCCAGTGGTGTAGGGCCTTTAGGGTTTAGGGTGTTTTTTTTTTAGGGTTTAGATAGGGTTTAGGGTTTAGGGTTTAGGGTTTATATAGGGTTTAGGGTTTAGGGTTTAAGGTTCACTGCACTGGCCCTAAACGGTTAGGAACATACCCTGCGCAATGAAGAACCCTGCAAGGACCCCCTCAACCCTAAATCCTAAACCCCGTGCCCCCTGAGGGATCATCCGATAAAACTGGAAGGATACGGGAAGATTGGATGAGAAGTGTACCAAGGCAAACGCACTGTGCCAAAAAGCGAGAAGCCCTAAACCCTAAACCCTAAACCCTAAACTCTAAACCCTAAACCCTAAACCCTAAACCCTAAACCCTAAACCCTAAACCCTAATCCGAGCTCCTGTTTAATTGGTGGGCCCCCCCCCCCCCGCCCACAATTATAAGGAAAGCAGGGTTCCGCAATAGTTGGACCATGGCCCCGTATGGTTTCTCTATTAAAAAACAATAAGAACTCCTGCAGCAGAGCCAGGGCGAGAGGTGCAGCCTTAGCAGAAGATCAAAAGCTTTCCGAAAGGCAGAGTTTCAAAATTTGACAACCCCCCCCCAAAAAAAATTTCTTTAAATGTGGAGGGTTTGGCCCATACGAAATCCATCGTAATGGAAAGTAGTCTTCCGGCGGGAATCCGGGCAAAAAAAATTTCTTTAAATATGGGGGGTTAAATGAAACAGGAGCTCGGATTAAACTCTAAACCCTAAACCCTAAACCCTAAACCCTAAACCCTAAACCCTAAACCCTAAACCCTAAGCCCTAAGCCCTAAACCCTAAACCCTATAAACCCTAAACCCTAAACCGTACTTGGAGGTTCATGGTACTTTTTCACCAGTTATTACCCAACTGTACTTATAGCCATATTAGGGCACTTAAGGGGTCTATAAGTGGGTAATAAGTGCAGTTATAATTGGTTAGTAAGTACCATGAACCTCCAAGTAAACCCTAAACCCGGGTTCGGCCAGCTATGCGGGAGCGAACAAAACCGTAAACCTAAACCCCAAACAAACCTATAAACCCCAAAAACCCTATAAACCCTATAAACCCTATAAACCCTATAAACCCTTTAAACCCTATAAACCTTATAAACCCTATAAACCCCGAACCCTAAACCCTAAACCCTAAACCCTAAACCCTTCAACTTGCGGCTCTCAGCCCATGGGACAATTGCGAGGATCTGGTGCGCTGTAAGCTCTGTCGCGTGGCTGGCAAGGGTATTTTCTGGCAAGTTCCGCGCTTGCTTGGGGGTTGAAGTCCTTAAGTATGGTAGGTGGGACTTTACCACAACTTCATCACTTTTGTGAGTTTAGGGTTCCTCTAACTTCAGATTAAGGGAGCTAAAAGTTAAACTTCATTTGAGGGGTTATGTATGGTAGGAGCACTGGCTCACCTCACTCCACCTCACTCCACTGCACTGCACTCCACTCTGCTCCGCTCCACGCAACTCCACTCCACTTCCTATGAGTCATGAGTCATGACCCTCCAAGTAGTGGTTCTTGGAGATTTGGGAATCAATGCGTTGTCTGTTATATAGAGGGCCGTTCAGGAGATGTAAGGTACGAGCTTCCCGACTTCCCCAGATTCAGAACTAGTCAGGAGGTGTATTACATCTGGGAGAAGGTGTCTGACAGAGGGGCAGAATGACATGGCCAGCCACGCAAACCCCTTCATTAAGGAAATGCCTTCAATCTCTATAAGGCTCCCTCATATGGTTTAAAGTGCACCCCGTAGTTAAGGGACATTCGGCTTCTGGCGATCTGGACCCCGAACCCTGCTTGCAGGTTGATGGGTGGTTACAAGTAGGGGCATACTGAAGGAAGCTATACCTATGTCCCTATGCCAGGGTACATAGAGCAATCCTTATGTCCCTATGTCAGGGCACTTCGTGATGTTTTGCGTGATGTGACTTCTAAGAAGTTGCGTGTTTGCCGGCAGCCTCCAAAGTCCGTTGCTGAAAAAAGGGTACTTCGAGCCCAATAATCGCGATCCATGAACCTCCAACCAAACCCTGTGGTTCGCGCAGCTATGGGGTTGCCAAAGCCCTAAACCTAAACCCAAGACCCTGTACACCCTCAACCCTAAGCAAAAACAACCCTGAAGCAACGAACTTGCGAGCCACCTGGAGGCTACAAGACGCTTCCCAACACCTGGGCCTGTGAGGAGCACATCAGCAAGGAGCACGAGGCCGGTTTTGGGGTTTAGGGTTACCCACCCACCACGCCAAAGCCTCCCCCCCCCAAAGAGCCCATGGTACCCCTTAATTAAGGAATACACTTTTAAATCATACGAAGGACGCCTACATAAAGTTTAAGGTATATTCCTTTCAGTTACGGGGTAGCCCTAAACCCCAAAGCCCTGAGCCCTAAGGGCTAAGCCCTAAACCCTAATTCAGGGGGTATTGGAGTCCCCCAACCCTAAACCCTGAACCCTAAACCCTAAACCCTAAACCCTAAACCCTAAACCCTAAACCCCAAACCCCAAACCCTAAACCCTAAACCCTAAACCCGAAACCCGAAACCCTAAACCCTAAACCCTAAACCCCAAACCCTAAACCCCAACCCCTAAGGGTCTGTGGCAAGGAAGATTTCCAGAAGGAGCAGAAGATTTGGGAGCGATTCCTCTTCACCACCTGCAAGCGGCAGCCGCCCTTCGGCTGGGTCTGCAACTCGACCTTCAGCTGGCCGGTTTGAGTTGAGTTGTTAGGGTTTAGGGTTTAGGGTTTGGGGTTTAGGTTTTAGGGTTTAGGGTTTAGGGTTTTGGGTTTCATAAGTTTAGGGTTTAGGGTTTTTGATACTCGGAGCTTCAGGGTCCAAAGCTCGTAGAACTCCAATGCTAGAACCTCGGGCGGAACCCTAATCCCAAGCCAGCCCGAAACCCCAAACGAAAAGCTTCCCGGAAGCCGAACATCTTGAGGGTTTATGCTTATAGAGCTATGGAGGGTTCTAGGGTGGCGCCCCATGCCCTGCAGTACGCGAGGAGCCGAAACCTCAGGCAGAGAACATGCCCTTTCACCTTGCGCCTCAAGATGACCAAGAGCGAGTCCCGAAACCGTTCCCAAACATTGCACATAGCTAGCTGCCCTAATCCTGCCCCAAACCCTAAACCCTAAACCCTAAACCCTAAACCCTAAACCCCAAACCCTAAACCCTCAACCCTAAACCCTCAACTCTAAACTCTCAACCCTAAACCCTAAGAAAGTTGAAGACATGCCGTCAACTTCCCATAGTGAATGGGTGTCCTGCTGCTGAATTAAGGTACCTTAATAGGCACATGCCTGAGTCAAGGCATGAACAGGTAGAATCCTAGATTACGGGGTTTTGCGGTCTCTGGGCTGGGAGGCAAGATCTGTTCCATCTTCTTCGCCTCCGATGGCCAGTGCTGGCGCCATGTGGGCAAGGAGGTGTACATCAGGCCACATGGGAGTTTACGAACAGAAGGGGCCCCTAAAAAGCCCCCCAAATAGAAGGATTCCCTTGTAGGAAGGACCCCAAGAAGGTACCCCTACTTGAGGAAACCCCCATGGGGTGGATCTGGGGAGGAATCGATCGGGCTTGCTGTCATGTTTGTGTTTGTTGCATCATTCGGGTGCTTGTCTCTACTTGTTGCCGATGTGGCCCTAGACCCTAACCCTAAACCCCCTAAACCCTAAACCCCAAACCCCCAAGCCCTAAACCCCAAACCCTAAACCCTAAACCCTAAACCCTGCATTGGAGCATGCGCCTTTTTGGGAATGGAGGGTCGTGAGGAGGTCCGGCGACGTGGGTTCAACCCCAGGAGTCAGCGCAGTTGATAGAACATTGCGCCCCTGACCGGTGATAGATGATGTTTTTTTTTTGCCCGCCGGAGGCACGAGGAGCGCCACATGGGCATGTGGCACGAGAAGGAGGCCTGATAAGGGCCGTCTCCCATGACCCATGACGTTGAGGGATTCTATGAAGGTCCAGTTCGCTTGCCTCGAGCCTCTCCGTCTGAAGACTCCTCCAAGGAGCGACCCTGATTGCCCCAGGACCGCTGGGGCCACGCAGAGGACGAAGAGTGCTGTGGTGATGGCATGAACGTCGGCCGAGGCCGTTGCAGATTTCGGGTGGGGTTTCCGCGCTTACCCTAAACCCTAAACTTAAACCCTAAGCTGCTGTTGTAACTGAGCAGTTGCTGCGTGACTCTGGTGGTGGAAGCAGCTTAAAAACACCCTGCGGAACCTGGATGCTTCAGCTGAATGCGCAGGCCCCTACTGTGCAGCAAAGGGGCGAAAACTCTGAAGCACTGAAGCGGCGGCAAGTTATCAGGATAGTTGCGTGGAGGTTCATGGGTAATTCTAAGAACCCCCACTTATAACAATAGCTCACATCCGTTCAAAAGGATGCGGAGGAAATTACGCAGCCGCACTGAGGAAGCGCTGCAAGCACATCCTTCCAATCGCTCTGCAAACTATCATGGCTCCATCGTGTGCACTCTCCCTCACAAGTTTCCGCTGGCGCTCCAGCCGATGTTGCCCCCCCTTCATAGCCCTTCTTTCCGCCACACGTCGATCCTCCACGTCTTGTATTTCACCACAATCTCGGTTTCAAACTCGCATGTCTGAAGCCCTAAACCCTAAACCCTGAACCCTAACTCATCCCTGGATGAGCTGCTCAAACCCTAAACCCTAAACCCTAAACCCTAAACCCTAAACCCTAAACCCTAAACCCTAAACCCTAAACCCTAAACCCTAAACCCTAAACCCTAAACCCTAAGCCCCTCAGCCTGCAACCCTGGATCCCCAACAGAAGCCCGGAGAGCGCGATACCTCTTTGGTAAGATTCAAGTCTACCCAAGGACTCCAATACCCCTTGTTTAATTAAGGTCTCTTCCTTGAAATATACTAGGCTTGGTTTAAGGAGTCTTCCTCAAATTCAGCCCTGGGTAGGTTCTTTGCGGTCCTTTGGTTTGGGGCGTGCGACGCGCGCTGAGAGAGTTTGGTCGGCGTGACGTCCTGATGATTAGATCTTGAGCTTTTCCGCTCGTAGAATTTGTGCTCTCAATGTAAGCTTCAGCTGGCTCTTGCCACAGGCAGCTAACGTGATTTGATCAATAGTCGCGTCCCTGCTGGTTCTGTCCAGCTATGCGGGTGGAGGAAAGTCCAAGTGGAAGCTGGGGTGATGTTGGACTACTCTAGATTGGGAGCTGTGCATTGAGCACATTCGTCGCATCTCTCTTCCTGAGCTTGTGATCATGCTGCTCGAGGACCAGTGGAAAAGGCATGTGAGATGGGTATCATATGCGGGAGCAGTGGCCAAGGAGCCCCTTCGCGGTGCTCGGGGCCTCCCGCCGGGGGATCCGTGGGCTCCGGTTGCGCTTGCTCTTCTTCTTTCGCTGCCAGCTCAGCATGTTAAAGAAGTGACGCCAGGGGCTGACACGCTCCTTTACGTCGATGACAGGACGGTGCTGGCCAAGTCGGTTCCCGAACTTGCTCAGGCATCTGACACTTGGGGAGCGCCTGGGTGAGGTCACGCGTCCGGACGTCTAAGGCCTTGAACCAATGTAAGCAGGCGCAAGTCCAGGCTGACACGGATGCCATGATGTTGGGAGCTTCTGTCGGATGCTCCGGGAGGGCGATTGCTAAGGAAGAAGAAGATCGCAGTAAGGCGGCTAAGCAAGTGGCCACCCGTTTGGCGTTCCTTCCTCTGTCCTTGCGCTCCAAGGCTCTTCTTGCCTCGACCGTGATCGCCCCTAAGGCTGCCTGGGGAGCAGTCCTCTCGGGCCGACGTCTTCGTGCTGGCGAAAGCAAAGTTTCGGGCATAGTTTCCGCTTGGCGGTCAAGGGTCAGCCGCGGGCCCGGCTGACAGGTCCTCGCGGCCTTTGCAGAAACTCCTCATCTTGGGTCACTGCTGTGACTTGGGTCTTCTCGGGGCTCATAGGGCGATTGCTCGAGGACCCTACTAGCTGCAACCTCAGATCTTCTCAACTTGGCGCCGCGCTTAAATCGGAGCTTGGCGCCTTGGGCTGGCGCGTGGCTCAGAGGACTTGGGGGGTCTTCTGTTCGGCAGATGGCCTCTGGCAATGGGACTCAGAGGCTCCTGTTGTCAAGCAGCGCAAGGCTGCTCACTTTCTTCGGGCGTCCTGGCGCGTGGCCCAGGTCAAGAGCTGGTAGAACACCCTGAGCGCATTGATGCGGGAATGGCTAGGGCAGAGGGGGGTGTCGGCCACCCGGGCTTGGTGGATCGTCTTCGGCGGGTTGCTTCCCAAGATGGTCATGGCCTTTCCGTGATGTGCGGAGGGTTCAGCACGGATGCTCAGTGGTCCCCTTCGGGTCCCGTGCGGGGGCGGTGTGGGGACTCCGGGGCGGAGGTCGTGCCGTCTGTTGCTCATGTTGCTTGGGATGTGAGCATCCTAAGTACGTTGATGCGCGGTTACAAAGTGCTCTCGCGGCACGCGTGGGGTGGGGCCCTGTACCTGCTCCTGCTGAGGCGGGAGTGGCTCGCCAACTTGGCAAGATCCGTGCTGCTGAGGTGGCACTTCGCCGTCGCAGGGCTACGTGGCGACGGTTCTCTGAGCAGCATGACGTGCTCGATGATGAAGAGCGGCCGGCGCGCAGTGGCGGGCTGGCTGATGGTGGTTTGGGCGCCGGCGCCGGCGCTGACACTGCTGCTGGGTAACACTGGCGATCTGGGGCTGCTACTCCGGAGATAGGGTGCAGCCACAAACTTCGCGCTATGCGGGTGGGACAGAAAACCTTAAGCCCTAAGCCCCGAAACCCTAAACCCAAAACAATCTCTGAACCTTCAACCCTAAACCCTAAGCCCTGAATCCCTGAACCCTGAACCCTAAACCCTAAACCCTTCAACTTTGAGAAGGCCCCAAAAGCCCTTGAGTCCAGGGCTCAGCTACGAAAGCGTCCTGGCCTTCAACCACGCCCAGGCGCGGGTGGCACACAATGTTTAAACCCAGGTTTAGAGCTGAGGGTGTTTAGGGTGTTTAGGGTGTTTAGGGTGTTTAGGGTGTTTAGGGTGTTTAGGTTGAGTTTAGGGTGTTTAGGGTGTTTAGGGTGTTTAGGGTGTTTAGGGTGTTTAGGTGTTTAGGGTGTTTAGGGTGTTTAGGGTGTTTAGGGTGTTTAGGGTGTTTAGGGTGTTTAGGGTGTTTAGGGTGTTTAGGGTGTTTAGGGTGTTTAGGGTGTTTAGGTGTTTAGGGTGCTTAGGGTGTTTAGGGTGTTTAGAGTGTTTAGGGTGTTTACGGTGTTTAGGGTGTTTAGGGTGTTTAGGGTGTTTAGGGTGTTTAGGGTGTTTAAAGTGTTTAGGGCGTTTAGGGTTCAAAAGGCTTTGGTGATGGATTTTGGCTGATTTTGGGGGTCCCTTTCGTACGGGGGACCCCTGAGTTGTAAGGCTCATGGGCCGTCTTAGAACAAGCCTCCTGTCCGACAGCCACACAAGCCCTTGAAATACAGCCCCGAATTCCTAAATTATCTGTATATATATATACACACATATATATATATACATAGATTATTGGTTTCCCAACCCACCCCCCAAGAAAAACTTTGATTGGGCATGCCCCACCCCACCCCACCCACCCCCCACCCCAGCCCATCCGCCCCTTCCCCCAAAAACAGCAGCCAAGCCAAAACACTTACCCCCAAAACAATTTGCAGAGTATTTTTAAGGTTCAGGGCTTCGGGTTGGGGGGTGAGCTTTGGGCGTTGAGAGGTTTAGGGCCTCTTGGGTCGGCGGCCTGAGCCGGAGGCTCCTAAATCCGGCCCCCGCGCCGCCCGTGGTCCAGGGCGGAGCCCGCGTCGCACTAAAGCGCTAGCTTTAAGGGGCGAGCGCCCGAGCCGCCGACCCCGCCCAAAATTGCTTCAAATTCGCGCGGGGCCCTTCGGGAGGCCTCCAAAACGGCATCCAAGGGGACGCAACACGCGGTGGTGCAAAAAGCACGAAAACCTCGTAAAAAACCATGGGTTTTTAAAACACCCGCAGCACCCCATTAAACCCTCACGGGCGCGCGTCATCGACCCTAGCTTTTCACATGGGGCGCGCGCCAGGCCGAAACCATGTTTTTCAAGGTTTGGGGGGGGTACCGGAAGCCCAAAACCAGGCGAGCATCATGAGCATCAGCAGCCCTGGCCCGCGGACCCAAGGCAAGAAAAAACGCTGAAAAACGCTGAAATCACCGTAAATACCGTGTTTTTATGAGGGTTTTCACGCGTGCCCCCACCCTTGTTGCCCTTGACCCGCCCCCAAAGTGCGCATCATCGAAACCCACGTCGGGGGGGGGGTCTGCTGATGCTGCTGATGCGCGGGGGTCCGGGGCATCATCGAGCCATCGTTTCTCATGTGGGCTTCGTGGGCCTCCGGGCCGACGGCCCAGAGACCCAGCTGATGCTCATGATGCTCGGTTTGGGGGGGGTTCCAACAGCAGAAAACCTCGTAAATACCGAGTGTTTTGTGGGTCCACGTAAAAACGCCCCTAAAATCGCTCATTTTACGCGCTCGAACGGCTTCGTGCCTACAAAACACCCGAACAGCAGGACCCCGAATGCCCTTAAGGGCATTCGGGGTCTTGCTTTTGGGGGTTTCGTGGGCACGCAAGCGTTCAAGCACATACAATCGGCGTGTTTAAGGGGGTTTTGGATGGCCTGGGGGAGGCCGCTGATGCTCATGATGCTCCCTTCCTGGGTCCCAAAAGGCTTCCCAAGCCCAAAAACACGTGTTTACAGCGTTTTCTGAAGGTTTTTCGAAGGCAAAACGCATGCATAGAATGCTTTTAAGGCCCCCAAACCAACCCCACTGATGCTCCTGATGCGGGTGCGCGCGCGCGCGCGCGGCGCGCGCGCGCGGGGGGGGGGGGGGGGGGGGGGGGGGGGGGGGGGGGGGGGGGGGAGGGAGGGGTGGCGAAGGCAGGAGAAAGAGAGACAGAGAGAAGGAGAGGACAAAGACACGGGAAAGAGAAGACAGTGCCAAGGTTCAAGGTTTCGTGCTTTGGGGGGCGGGGGCCGGCCCGTGCCGCTAGGCCTGAAATCCGGCCCCCGCGCCGCCCGTGGTCCAGGGCGGAGCCCGCGTCGCACTAAAGCGCTAGCTTTAAGGGGCGAGCGCCCGAGCCGCCGACCCCGCCCAAAATTGCTTCAAATTCGCGCGG